CCTTTATTGATTCCATCAAAAGACTAATTTCCAAGGATGCTTTCCCTCTTCTTTTTATAATCATCAGTGATTATTGCATATATTGTTGCATGTCATAGGAATAATTTATTCTTTCATTAAAAGTGTTTGTTGGAGGCCAGCATTATGACCGTCCTCTGGGTCCATGCAGGACAGCATTGTGGCTGCCTGTAGAATGAGATCATCACAGATGCCAGGCTCTTTTAGAACAACATATTTAGTCAACTTTGAACAAATATTATCAAAAATTAGACTATCTCAGAGAAAAATTATTCTAGTAACACGTCTATTTTGAATCATGCAGACAAAATAAATGTGGTTTTGATTTTCTATGGAAGAAGCCTACAGAGGCCACCTGTTGTTTTTGACTGCCAATTAACCAATGCCTCTTTTTCTTGACCTGACATCTTTATTTTGCTTTGGGAAATGATCTCTTCTCCACCCTTAGTCCACGTGGCTTAGGTAGGATTGATTCTGTCTCTAGCTCTAGGGGTGGGCTGTGATATAGGCCTGGCCAATGAGAACAGCACATCCTGTGGCCAATCACTGGCTGAGGTATAGACTCATGACTCAAGCAGGACTAATAGTAAACAAAGGCGGTCATCCCCAGACCTTTTGCTGGAACTACTGAGAAAGCCAATTTTTTTTTTTCCTGCTGGGGCTGCAAAATGCAAGCCTGGAGCTGCTACTGGCCGTCTTTGTAACAAAGGCAAGAGCTTGCCTGGAAGTGAAGCCATCACTAAGCGAACTATTCTGTGGGTTGGGGAGAGAGAAAATCCTGGGGACAGTGACTGAATACTGAGATGTGGCTCTGGAATTTTGGTTTAAGTGAGTTCCCTTTTCCTTGAGCCAGGTTGAGTTGAGTTTTGGCAATTGTAGTCTAAAGAATCTTGGTTAACGTACAGGATGATTTTATAGAGCTTTTCTGCCGTGACTTCTCTCTGTGTCTCTTTGATTGTGACTGAAAAGAACTTGTCACTGAATAAAGCATCACATTTTTATTGAGCACATACTATGACAGTCACTGTGTAGAGTCCTGGGATATAAAGATGTAAAGGACAAAACCTCCATCAGATAGACAAATGTAAATATATATGAGCAACACAATGATGACAGTATTGTAAAGTGAGTGTGAAACAGGACAAGGGCCCAGCATGGTGGCTAAGGGTGTGGACTCTGGAGCCAGATTGCCTGGGTCTACTGTGCCACTTACTATTTACTTTACACATTTCTTAACGTCTCTGTTCCTCATTTCTCCATGTGTAAATTAGGGAGAATAATTGTTGTGAGGACTATCTTAGTCCATTTGGGCTGTTATAAAAGTAAGTGACTGTAAAAGTAAGCAGAAGCTATATCCCTAAGGGACGTGCCATGCTACAGGGTGCTTGCATTGATATTAGGTAAGATAACATCTCTTGCAAATGAACAAATACTCAAAGGGCTTAAGTAAAAATGACAATCAATGGCCATAATAACTGAAAAGTCCAAGGGTAGAGCTGGCTGCAGCCCATCTGGATCTGTGTTCAAATGATGACTCCAAGACCCATTTTTCTCTCTCTTTCTGTCTGTCTGCTTCGTCTGTGGATGGCTCCATTCTCAAATGTATCAAACTTTGTGATGATGAGATAGCTGTTAGAGGCTCACAACTCAAGTCCAACAGGAAAGAATCTCACTGGCTCTGACCGAGTCACTGGAACCAACTATTTTGATGAGTGAGTAGAATGCTATGCTTTGATTAATCAGGCCAGAGATTTACATACTGGAAACGTTAATTCCACCGAGAAACTCGTAGACGTAGCCTGCAAAAGAGGATGGTCCTTCAGAAGGAAATTGGGTATGGATGCCAGAAAAAGGATATGAAATGCATGCCAGATAGCAAAACCGAGAGAAGTTCAGGATACCTTTTATATTGTGAGGACCGGGAAGGCCATTGCTGGCTTTTAAGCTAGGAAACGGCATGACCTTTGCATATACTCAACGTAGTGCAGAGGATGGATTGGACAATTGTAGTTGGAGGCAAAGGGTGAGTTACAAAGGTTTTGTACTGATCCAGGGAAGTTATGATGAACATAGGAATGAAACCTTGCCATTGGGTATGGGAAGGTGCAATGAATCAGAGATGTTCATTTAGGGGTTAGAACCACAAGTATTTTATGCTAAACAAAACTCAGTGGGGAAGGGATGGAAGATGTCCAGAATGCATCTTAGGTTTCTGACTTTGGTGACAGAGTGGGTAGTGATGCCACTTACTAAAAGTGGAGTTAACAGAAAAGAGAAAGAGGAAGGTATTAAAAAATAGCTAATATATACAATTTATTTATGTCCATGATCCTTTTCAGACTGGCAGAGAAAAGTATATTCAAAGTTTGTGTTATCTCTTTTCCCTATTAACAACACCATTCACAATGATAAATGACTGGGAATACTCTTGTGCACGCACGGGCATGAGGAAACACATGTGCCCTCTAAATGTGTGACACGGGCACATACAAATTCATGCACACACAGTTGTATTGGCCTCTCTCTCGCCTTTTTGTGTGCTTTGTCCCTTTTCTTCTCATCTGCTTCTTACTGATTTTTTCTTTCTGTGTCTTATCTATCTTTGTAAGTGGCTTTAAACCCTTCTGGAACAAGATGGTGTATAGTTAATAAATATCGCTTAATACATATTTATGACAAGTCTGCCCTTACAAAAAAATGATTGGAATGAGGCTTGGAATTTTTTTAAACCAAAATTGCTCTTCTACTTTCTTTACACAAATAACCATAAATGTGAATACATTTTTTCTGCTTTTTCTTTTTTTTGAATAAAAGACACCTGCATTTGCTTAAGATTTTATTCTTTTAATACCAAAACAGCCTTTTCTTTCCCATGTCAGCTCTCTAGTCCTCATCACTACCCCACCAAATATTTCAAAATAAAATTCATCTCTGGGCATAGAACCAATAAAAAAAACTTCAGTTTAAAAAGCTACTCAAAATTTGAGGGCTTTGCAATGAAAGAAATATTTAAAAGGTAAGTAAGTAAACGATGTCCAAAAATGAATGCATCTGTAGATCGTGATCAGAAGAAAATTTTAATCACACAGTTATCTTGTGGTTAATGACCATCTACAATAACTTCTCCATTTCCAGTTTCTCCAGCAAATCCTATAGTCTTCAAAGGGCCCAGATTAGCTACTTCTGTCGGCTATTTTTTATACTTTATAGCATAGCACAGAATTCTAGCTTTGGCTGTGACGTGTAGGCAGGTGACTGTCTCAGACCACCTGTGCTCTCCCTTCTTTGTCTAATCCCCATTGCTCCTGATCTCCTGGACCCTTGTCCTGACTCAGAAGGAGGGTCAGGGGACAAAGTATGGCAGGCAGAAGACAGTGGAAGCAAGACAGGCCTGAAAGACAGGAGAAGCAAGCGCCGGCCTTGCAGGCAACTGTGTGTTGCCCCTGGTAACGGAAGAGGCATCCAGCTCTGGAACGCGCAGGGACTCCCCACTTTCTCATGAGTGAAGTCCCCAATCCTGGGGCTGGCATTCGAGGCTCTTACAAATATGATTTATTAACTCCTCTTCTTGGTCTCTGTTCTGACTTCCTGCTTTGTTCCCATCATTACCTCTATCTCAAGTGCCCTTTCTACTACTGGGGTCATTCCAAGTACTATCCATTACTTAAAGCCCTGTGGCCAGAGATTTTCCCTAATTTGCAAGTAAGCATTTGCTCTTTCACAGCATTTTGTCTCTCTCCAGTTTAGCACTAAGCATATTTTAGCCTGTTCTTTTTCAGCATTATAGGTATTTTGGGGTGTGTGCATGTCATTTTCTTTCTTGTATCCTTAGAAATTTGATGGCAGGGGCTGTGCCATCTTTATCTTGGTGTTCCTCTGTCTGCACAGAATCCAGCATGGTGATTCACATATAGGAGGCATTGAGAACACTTATTAAATGAGTGAGGAAAGGGAAGAATACATAGGAGGAGGATTAGGAGTTACCGAAAGGGAGGGGCTGAGGAGGTGACAGATGAGACAAAGTCACAGGTAAGAGTAACAGGGGAATTGTGGTTCAATGGGGAACAAGACGCTGACATTGAAGAGAAAGTGGGACTAAGGGAGGAGTGAGACTTGGGAGGGACATCTGTTCACTCAGACGTGTGGTCTCACCTCCTCCCCCATTCATTCCTCCTGTCAGCTTCACTCATTAATCAGGGGATGTATATTTTGCTTTATTTGAGTTCAAAACCTAGGAAATCCGTGAGAAAGTGTCTCACCACAATGTAAAGTAGTGCCTTATTTGTGAGAGAGCTACTAGGTCAAATGTTTGTGCTGGGAAACCATCATGCTAAAGGATGTGGGAGAATGACCTACTGTCTCTTTCTCTCCACTTCCATCTTCATTTCTATTACCCCTCCCAGACCTCTATCTCTAAGCTTTTTGCTCCTTCCCAATTGAAACTACCAATAATGCATTGAGGGTGGGACGGGGAGAATACAGCTGCTGAATTCCTTATTTCCTTTGCATCCACCACACCCGCTTACACACACCTTGGCACGCCTAGTGTTTTTCCATCTGTAAAACCTTCTCTGGCCCCCAGCCCCAGGAGTAGCAGGTCTTATGTGACTCTAGCATCAAATCATTCTGTTCTTCATCATGCTTGTCACCTTGAATTGTGACAGTATGCTCACCACACACTAGCCTGTACGAAGGCAGGGATTTTGTCTCAACTTGCTGTTAAATGTGACTCCGTACCATAGTGTCTGGTCCACGCAGGCTCATTACAGAGTTGTTGAGTGAATATATATAAGCATGAAAGAATGACTAGGAAAACAAAATAAATGCATAACTTCACTTTAGCTTGCTTGAAAATACTCAGTGGTTTTAGACTTACTATAGCTTTTTGAGAATTGTCAAAGACTTTGGGATGTTATGATTCTTTAAATAAAAAACAAAAATGTAATTTTATGAAAATTAAATAAGGCAATATCATGGTCAGCTGGTTTTATCACTTAGGGCATTTAATAGAAAATTTAACACTGTCTTTAATTTGTTTAAATATCTATGAGCATCACTTTCAAGAGAATTCATATCTGGGGTTATTGTTTTATATAATTCATCTTGGTGGTTTCAACTGTTAGGTGGTTCATCTTGTTTTGATAGATTCTGCTGGAACTGGATGTAAACGTGCTGGAATCTGAGTGAGAGTCTCTTTGGACCCTATTCCTGCTTGCTCCACCTTCTAGGGCCCCAGATTATATTAAAGTGTCTGACACAAGGATCTTGGAACATTCAGATCAGCAGTCCTGATCACAGTTCGTCGTCTTCTGATATGGAATCTAGGTAATCTGTGTCAACGTATAGGAGAAATCCGGAGAATAAGCTGTCTGCCCAACCTGGATCTGAGAAAAGGCCATTCTGGTCAGTGAAGAAGATCTCCAGCCAGACTTCATCTTCTGGCTGCAGATAGATGACTGTGGACCCTGAAGCCACGTCATGGTTCCCTGTGTTGGCATCAAAAGTCTTTATCCGGTACTGCCCATTGTGGACCAGCCCGATTGCCAGGTGCTTATTAGCCAATGTGATATCATAAGAAAAGTAGTAGATCCCTGGGAAAGCACAGATGAACTTCCCTGTTGCAGGGTTGTAGTGCTGTCCCTCATTGAAGAGGACCTTGTTAAATATAATAGGTAGTCTTTCTTCTGGGTAGCTGGTTGTAATGCCAACAGAAAAGGCGGATTTGAGCACGATGCTGCCACATCTGCAGACTCCAGGCAGCCCCGGGTCCCCTTGTTCCCCTCTGTCTCCCTTTGGTCCAGGAGGCCCATATGGACCTACTTCGCCTTTCTCTCCCTCTGGTCCCATGGGTCCTTTCTTCCCAGTTTCTCCTTGGTCTCCTTTCTCACCAACAAGACCCACCGGTCCAGTCTTACCTCTCAGACCTTCAAAAAGAGTTTATAGTTTAGTTAATAGCTCCTCTAAGTATCGAGTCACAGGAGCATCCATACACAGTCCCTTTTCAGTCAACCTTCAATAGAGTTCTACTAAGTGATAAATCTTTAAAAAATCATTGATGTATTATAAAAATAAAAATAGAAAACTTTCATTAGAATTTCAAGTCAATTTTCCTGAGTATGTGAGAAATTATTTAAATCCTGACCAATCTAAAATAATTAACTACCATTTTGATGACAGATCACATGCCACTCAATTATTGACATACAGGTAGGTACTGGTTACTGCAGGAAAAGTTCAATGAGCAAGACGATATTATTCCCCAGAGTGGGCTCATGGGGGCGCAGACATTACCAGACAAATCCCTAGAGGCTATTTGGTCTCATGCCCATTCTATTTCTATTAGAGTTAATAATAAAAGAATTAATTAAAATTAGATTTATTTATTGAGCATTTTACCATGTAGCAGGGACAGTGTTAAGTGCTTTATTTGCATGTACTATTTTATTTGTCTCACAACAGCATTATGAACTAGTTCATAAATTATTATCACTTCCATTGCAGATGAGGAAATTGAGCCATAGAAAAGTCATTTTGCTCAAGGGAACAGACCCAGTGAGCAATGGAGCTGTGGTCTGAACTCATGCCTGCCTGATTCTGGAGCCTGAGCATCCCCTGGGGCGGTGGCTGGAGTGTGTGAATGGTAAAGTAAAATGGCACATAGTGAGAGCTCAATATGCTGCAGTGACCCAACAATAACTGCCACCACCATGCAGTAGCTCCTTTTTGGAGGAGAAATTTGAGTCCCAGAGGGGCGAAGAAACTTGCTTCTGTAGCAAGGCTAGGACTGACATCCAAGCTTTCTTAGCCTAATGACTCTCCCCCTTCATCAAAATGACTCTTACCTTTGGGGCTGGAGTCGGGAATCCTAAATTCTGTTTGGCTCTGCCACTAAATGCTTGTATCATTTTAGGCAAGTCCCTTAATTTCTCTGGGTCTCCCTATATACAGAGAGACATAATAGCTGTGGAAGGATTTCAAGAAATTCAAAATCACCATACAGGAATATTTTCTGTGTGTTCAAATCTTTGTATCTGCGGATCAACCATAGGCTAAATGCAGAGAAATGGTGATCCTGGTTGAAAGTAATAAGCAAAATCTATTTAATTTTTAAACCATATATCTAACAGCAATGACTTAATACCATAAAAAGATGTCATTCAATTTATGACCAAATCCATTCTATGAACAATGCTTATATAATGGTATTTTCTCAGAAAATATCCAAATTATTGGTAGTTTGTAATGCACTTTTGTAGTCAGAGAAAATACATCATTTATTTATTGTGTAGTTTCAATTTTAACTACTTATTTGTCCTCATGAACTTTTATAAAGCTAAGCCATTTTATCTAGATAGTTCTTTGATATCATTTATTTAAATATTATACATACATCAATGTGTGAGTTTGATCTTTTGATCACTTCTCACTTCTTTGGCAAGTTAGCAATGAAGTGTTCTACGTAATATAAATTTGAGGAGAATTAAAACTTTACTATTAAAATAGCGAATATTTTGTTTTAATAATTTTGGAAAGTGGCTGTTCAATAACTTAGTGTACATAAAAGGTGCTGACAATGAATGTGACCCTTTCTTGGCAAGTCAGGATCTGCCTTATCACTGATCACAGTACTGTCTTCTAGCTGCAGATGACCTCTGTTAGGCTGAAACTCTACTGGTTTCTGCCAGAACACACATTGATATCTATCTCTTGAAATAAGATCACAACAGTTTGATCTTTTAATGTTTGCTTTTTTTTTTTTTTTTGGTAGAAATGAAATGTGAGTACTATTTTGTTGTTGAGTTAACTTTGGAATCACAGATTACAACTTCTAAGCTGCTATTGTGTCTTTCACAGGAGCTTAACTTTTTCTGTCTTCATTGGTGACCTTTGATGCATTGATAACCATTTTTGCACCAGTAACAATTTCGATCATAAAATTTCATTATGCACTCAAATCCTCCTGCCTCTCTCATTTTGGGCAAGTCACTTCTTGTCTGTTTCAAATACCCATTTGTAATATGGGGAAATTGGATCTAAGTCTACTCCAAACTTAGCAGGCAAAGTAGTAAACAGTTGAGTCAAAAGACCTGGGATAAAACTCCAGTTCAGGTGAATTTGAAGAAGGAGCTTGATCTCTCTGACTTTAGTTTCCCAGTCCCTGAAATGAAAGTGTCGGACTAGACTGAGGTCTCATTCTCCTGAAAACTCTTTGAGATTAAATCATAAGTACTGGGATGCAATTTCACAATACTGTCCATAAAAAGATCTTCACAACCTCAATGTTTGGATTTTCTACAGTAATTCTTTTTTAATATGCCGAACTGCTGGGTGATAGATAATTATGTATTAATTTATAGTAATTCTTTCTGTTTATATGAAGAATTTACCCATGTGCTAAGGGCTTATACATTAAGAATGGAAAAGAGGGATGAATTATTCTCCCTTTCCTTATTCAGTCACACATACGATTGGGTAGAGCGAATTATGGAGTAAGGGTTAGTCTATGCTTAGGTACTGAAGTTTTCACAGAAAAGATTTCTTCTTTGTTCTCATTGAGTCTACATAGATTTCTTCTCAGTGCTATTTCTTTCTTCCTTCCATCATCCATCCATCCATCCATCCATCCATCCACAGATCTATGCATGCATGCATGCATGCATACATCCATCTAAACCATCTAATATTGATTGACCATCCACTACATGCTAGACTCTGTGCTAGGGCCTTAGTAGGACATCAGCATGAATGACACCTGCCGCACCCCCAAGTTAGCTGTCATCACTTATTACCTTGTGATCTGCAAATATGGGTCATAGCTAAGTTCATAAATACCTAAATTCATATAATAAGTTGGAACAAGTGATCTGTTCATGAGATAGTTCTAGTGTTATTTGGAGATATTTACATAGACACGCATTCAGATTAAATTAATTGTTAGTATTATGCTACAGTAATAATAATAATTACTACAGACCAGTGAGGGAGACAATTTTTTATAGAAAATTTATAATTCAGTATGATGAGCTCTGTATTTCTAATTTAAGGTATAGACATTGGACAAAGAATAGGCTTGATTCTGCCTGGAGTTGATTGGAATGGCTGTGGTGGGGGTATTCGCCACTGGTACATGAAGGAGAAGATGCTGTGGTGTCATTAAAGGGGAAACAGGAGTCAGAAGCTCACAGCCACATTGTGCCTACCTGTAGCCACATTAAAAACACATCCCCCAAGCCCAAAGGCTTTGTTCCTGTAGTTTCTAAGTGAGGTATGCTTCTCTTTATTGATCGTACAGTCATTTTTACCTTTCCTTTCTGAGTTGTTACAGATCCTTATGTGTGTAGATGTGTATATTGGATTTAAATAATCTAAGGTTGGGAAAGTCATTTTGTTTTTGAATCTTAATTTTTCTCACTTGTAACATTATTATTATTACTGATTATATAATTATTGCTAATAGGGTTATGATGGACATTAAATACTAAATGTAAAGTTTGTGACACATAGCAAGTTCTTAATAAATGGTTATTATTGGTATTATTATGACATATTGTAATTAAGTATTTACATATTGGCTTCCCCCACACAAATGTCTACTTATCAAGGCAAGGAAAATTATCTTATTCATGTTTGTGTTCCTAATGTCCAGAACAGTGTTCAAAACCAGATAAAATTTTGCACTCCCTACCTTCCTACCCAAAGGGCAGTTGGCAATGTCTGGGGACACTTTTGGTTTTCACAGCTGGGGGGAGGGAGATTACCAGTGCCATCTAGTGGGATGCTGCTAAACATTCTGCAATGCACAGGACAGTCACCCCACAGTAAATAAGTACTACACCCCAAATGCCATTAGTGCGGAAGCTGAGAAACACTGGTCCAGAATAACACTGGACAGTAATAGGTTCACACAAAAATCTTGTTCAGTGGGTAATGTGTGGGTGCATGAGTGAATACATAGATTGATAAATATGGGGTGTACCTGGACGCATATATGGTTAAAATTGTAGCAATTCTGAGCATTTAATCTGAATGCATATCTATCTATCTATCTATCTATCTATCTATCTATCTATCTATCTATCTATCTATCTATCTATCTATCTATCTATCTATCTATCTATCTATCTATCTATCTATCTATCTATCTATCTATCTATCTATCTATCTATCTATCTATCTATCTATCTATCTATCTATCTATCTATCTATCTATCTATCTATCTATCTATCTATCTATCTATCTATCTATCTATCTATCTATCTATCTATCTATCTATCTATCTATCTATCTATCTATCTATCTATCTATCTATCTATCTATCTATCTATCTATCTATCTATCTATCTATCTATCTATCTATCTATCTATCTATCTATCTATCTATCTATCTATCTATCTATCTATCTATCTATCTATCTATCTATCTATCTATCTATCTATCTATCTATCTATCTTTAAATAACACTAGAACTACCTTATGAAACAGACTACTCATTTGTAGTTTATTATATGGCTTTGAATAGTCATGGATTTAGCTGTGACTCATATTTGCAGATCAAAATATAGTAAGTAATAACAGCTGACACTTACTGAGTGCTTACACATGGAAGTTATTCTGTGTAGTGTTTTGCATGTATTATTGCCCTTAAACTTCACAATCACACTTACTACCACCAATTTACAAATGGGAAAACCAAGGGGTTTTCAAAGAGGATATTTACCCAAGGATATTTAGTAATTGAAGGAGCCAAGATTTGAGTCCACATCTTTCTGAATCCAATGCTTGTTTGTGCAGCCACTACATTATTGCTTCCAGACACAGTAAACTAAAAAGGCCAGCAATACATGCTATAATCCTGGTGTCATTATAGGATTTTAGGTTTCATGATTATGACTCAGAGGTAACTTGTTTTCATAGGTGTCAGCCTTTGAAAAATAATGTTTAAGGTCCTAATTAAAGATACTCTATGTGATGTTGAATCTTTACCATAGTTAATATTGAACAATGCTCATAGATTTAGTAGCAATTGCTTTGCCAAATATTTTCTGCATAGCAAATTCAGAAATGAATTATTATCCAATAATGTGAATATATATATAATTATATTGTTTCACAGAACACTAGTAAATCAGGTGCAATGATTATATGGAGACATAGTTCTCAGATTTATTGATTTTTTTCTTCCTATCTTTTGTCCCAACTTTTACACTCAGAAACTTGTTTTCAAAGATTGATGCCAAATCTCTTCCCTTTTAGAATTAACACAGCCTATCTAGAATTCCAGTTTGGTTTACTCTGAAGGACAGCAGAATCTGGCAAGCTTCCTGGGCCAACTTATTTATGGGATAAAAAAAGTGAAAATTACTGAAGGACTAAGGGACAATTGTGTTGCTGTAAAGAGCTGTAAAAAAAAATTCTACTTTTTAGCTGCTACAGGACAGGTGGGAAAGTGAGGAGCTAATAAAGATAGGCTCTACAGGGCTATTTTCATTTCATCCATAAAAAATAAAATTTAGAAGGCCTTTATGTATCTTCATTTAGGATATTAGTACTGAGCAGGATAGCACCTGTGTGTTTAGCTCCTAATTTCTGCCTCTGCTTAGTCTGTCTATCTCGCCTCCTGCCCATTTGTCTGTCCATCCATGCACCACCATCCAGCCAATGCCTGCTGGCTGGAATAGCCCAGTGTTTCAGGCATCAGATATTTGAGTCCAGCTCTGGCAGTCACTAGCAGAACATGTCCATTTACATCCATCTTCAGTGATTCATTTCATCACGCTATGGCTCAATTTTCTCATCTATAAAATGTGATAACGACTGCTTGAAAGAGTCATCATTACAATGAAATAAGGATGCAGGTAAAGAGTTTAGGGCAGCATCTGAAGCATAGTAAGGGCTCAATACATTGTTAGGATTAATGAAGGTGAAGAAGAGAAGGGATTTAAGGAGCAAGGCTCATTAGAAAAAAAGCAATAAAGACGGGCAGTAGTTTTCAGGTGGGATGAAGGAGGGTGTTTGATGAAAGGTCATCATTTGTTACCTGCGGATCCCTTTTCACCTTTCTCTCCTTTCCTGCCGTCTCTACCGTCTCTTCCTGGAAGGCCGATGCGACCATGGGGCCCTGGGGAGCCACTTGCTCCAGGGGGCCCTGGAGGTCCAGGTAAGCCAGGAATGCTACAGATATATCTCGGGGAGTAGCTCTCTCCTTTGAACTGATTACCCCGAGGTTGTCCACTTGCACAAATGGCAAAACTTGTAACATAGAGCAAGACAAACATCTTTGGCTCTGGAAGAGAAACACATGGACATAAATGCACCCTCTCACGGCTTTTTTTTTTTTTTTTTTGCATTATCGACTTGCTTGAACATGAGAATGGGCATTTGACACAATTCACTCCAGCATTCGCCTTTCCACATATGTAAAACCGTGTCAATCTTCACGATTCCACCGAAAACTATTAACACATTATTGATACAGAGTTCTCAGTGACCTATACAGGGACTGGTGTAGAAGAAGGATTGATTAAAAGCATTTCAAAAGAAATCACTATGTTGCATTTATTCTGCAGGAATCAATGATGGACTTTGAAAAATGTTTATTTTTGTAAAAGTAATGCATTTAAATGAAAGAAAATCAGAGATACAAACGAATAAGGTAAACATTAATGTTATTCTCACCACTTTATTATTTTTTTTCGGCAGCTGGCTGGTATGGGGATCTGAACCCCTGACTTTGTTGCTATAACATTGTGCTCTAACCAACTGAGCTAACTGGCAAGCCCGAGATAACAACACTGTACATTTTTAACTATACATCTTTGCAGTCTTTTTTGTGTGGTGGAGAAAAGTAATATTGTGCCATTCTTACAATTCTTTAACTTTTTTCACTTAATAATGTATTATGAACATCTCATGTCAGAAAACTATTCATAAGATTAAAAAATGTTAAAAAATGTTTGTCTATTATCTTTGATGTATACAGTTCCCCATTATAGACATTTAAGTTGTTTCCAGTGTTCTGCCAATATAAATACCATACTGGACATCATTCTAACTAATCTTTGCATGCATCCATGATTATTTTCTTAGAATTTATGGGCTTTTTAAAACTGGAGAAAGGAAAAAGCATTTTCAGGAAAACCATGTTTCTCACTTGATAATCACGTGTAATGCCAATTAGTGTAATTGGAGTACTGTGTGTGTCCTGAGGGGGGTCTCAAACTTTAATTTAAAATTTGCAGGATATAGTACCATGGTGTTCCATTACACTGTTAGCACTGAGGATCAATTAAAAAGCTGTGTGAAATTAAACCATGCACAGCTCCATGTGCTCCGAGTGAGGCAGGCAGCAGGTCCCTTCAGCTCTGATCTGGTAGGACTTGGGTTTTCCCTTCACAAAGTCTGGCAACTGAGAATGATGGACCATTCATTTTTTTATCATGACATCCCAGCACATAGGCTGGGGATACCTGATTTTCTAGGCTAAATGGTCTTTAGGATTAGCAGTTTCTTGAATGGGAGAACATATACAGGTGGTTCTGGGGTCATGTAAATAAGCAGTTTTTGGATGGTTGACCTGTGCTTTAACGAGAAATCTGCATAGTGCTTGACTTGGCATACTCACCTAAAGGAAATAATCATAAAGTATGAGAAAAGCAATCAGATGGAGTTTCTTTTGTTTTTTGACAGCCACATCCGAAAATTAACCAGGCACATGGTACCACTTTTGTGGCACCCATGGGAAGTTGCAACATCTTGGAATTAGACCCGGAAATTTGCCAGAGCGTGAGAATGACAACTGAGAAAAACAGTGTGCACATGTGATATTGAAACAAGCCTGATTCCTAGAAGTCTTATTAGTGAAAAACCAAAGCAACTAACCCAAATTTAGGTTCTGTATTCTTGACCAAATCTCAGTTTTACCAGTAAAAAACAAACAAAAAAACCCCAGCACATCTTTTCCATGCTGTCTGCAAGACTTGTCATGCAGCACAACCCCCAAATTACTGATCCTATTGCTCAACTGGGATTAAAGCACTTTCTGACAAGCCCAGTAGATCTGATAAAGATATCAGCCCTTCCGAAGGAGCCTCAGATGAAATAAAATGGAAAGAACATTCTATTCACATACCCTGCTGCAGTTAAAACTATATGCATTGATTAAATCGCTGGTTCCTCCCCTTTGTAAAAGGCTGGTTAGAGTTGTTAGAGGAGGCATTGAAAAGGGGTGTGAAAGTGGGGAACACATTCATAGAAAACACTCAGAGAGAGGCTTTTATTTGAGGAAGAAATCATCATCTTTTATTTTATTATGACATAGTTGATTGTACATAACCGTGGGGTAGAGTTAACTGTCAATACCTATGTGCAATATGTGATGCTCACATCAGGATAATCAGTATATCATCATTATACAAAGTAATCATTTTTTTGTGGTCCTTTACCAATTCCTTCCTAACCCCCCTACCGCTCTGGCTTTCCTACCTCTGGAAACCTCAGTTCTGTTCACTGTAAGGAGGCTTTTAACCAGACATGGAATGAAACACTGTAGGCTGTGGTGGGAGTTGGTTCTAAGAGGAACTTGAAATTATCTGGAGAGAAACTCCTTTGGGTGGTGGCATCTCAGACACTGTGATCGAAATGCAGAAACACAACCATGCCAATTGTCATGTAAATGGCCTGGGAAGAAGAATGAGGAAAGGGACTAGTTGATGGTGGACAGAGGAAGCAGAAATTTTGAAGACGTGTTTGGAAGAAAGGATATTTAATATTGCCAATAGCCAGGCAAAGAGGTGCTCAAAGAAGGAATGACTTAAAACAACTGAAACATTTATTTATTGAACAAAAGGATTGCCTTTCCTTGACAAACTCACTAGGATATTGTCTGTATAGGGATCTAATTGCTGCAAGCATCCCCAGTGAGAACTTTCTGAAAGGCACTCAGAATGACCATCTCCACCAACAATCCGCATCAGAACTGAGGAACAATGTGTCGTGGTGCCTGATGCACGGTGGTGGCAAGGCACTGAGTGGTCCGTCAAATTCTGGGACTCAATTCATGCAGGAAGGAATGTGGATTATAGTGGAAAACCACAGTGGTGTCACCCTGCAATGATTCTCCATTTCACTTGGGAGCCAAAAGCTTTGTGTTACATGGTACGATGGTCTACAAGGCCCCCCTTACTTCCCTGCCTTCATCTTCTGTTCTCCTCACTTTCTCAGTGACAGTCATGCCGGATTCCTTAGCGTTCCTCCAAGACACTAGGTATGCGCTGCCTTAGGGCCTTCACATGCCTCTTCCCTCTATCTAAAACCTTCTTCACCAAGATGTCACATAGCTCAAATGTCATCTTGCCATTCAGTGCAACCCTTATCACACCATCTAACCCTGCAATCTGCCTTCTTCTATACCTGATCCTCCCTCTTTCTGCTCTGGCAAAAAAAAAGAGATTTTTGCAGGTGGAAGTATGAGTTTTGTGGAAAAAAACTAGTGAGAAATTGTGGAACATGAGACTATTACAAGAGAAAGAGGGAAAAAAGTATTTAAAAATTTTTTCCTGGGATCTATGTGTTCCTTTTGCAGTGTTTATGAAGTACAAATAAAGGACTTGAGTTGTTTTAATTTTGCATAGTCTAGGGTATTTCACAATATTTAATAATTTATTTTTTATATAGCTAATATTCATACATACACACTTCATAAAATTCAAAAAAGGAAAGCTGGAGAGATTGCATTGCCTGACTTCAAACTATATTACAAATCTGTAGTAACAAAAACAGCATGGTACTAGCATAAAAACAGACACATGGACCAATGGGACAGAATAGAGAACCCAGAAATCAACCCATGTATTTACAGCCAACTGATCTTTGACAAAGGCACTAAGAACACACATTGGGGAAATGACTGCCTCTTCAGTAAATGGTGCTGGGAAAACTGGATATCCATTTGTAGAAGAATGAAACTTGATCTGTACCTTTCACCATATACCAAAATCAACTCAAAATGGATTAGAGACCTAAATATAAGGTCTGAAACTTTAAAACTCCTAGAAGAAAACATAGGAGAAATGCTCCAGGATTTAGGACCGGGCAATGACTTTATGAATAACACCCCAAAAGTACAGGCAACAAAAGAAAAAATAAACAATGGGATTATATGAAACTAAACAGTTTCTGCACAGCAAAGGAATGATAAATGCTGGCGTGGTTGCGGAGAAAAAGGAACTCTCATACATTGTTGGTGGGAATGCAAAATGGTGCAACCCCTATGGAAAATGGTTTGGAGGTTTCTCAAACAGTTGCAGATAGATCTACCATATGACCCAGCTATCCCACTGCTGGGAATATATCCAAAGGAATGGAAATCATCAAGTCGAAGGTATACCTGTTTCCCAATGTTCATTGCAGCACTCTTCACAATAGCCAAGAGCTGGAATCAGCCCAAATGTCCATCATCGGATGAGTGGATACGGAAAATGTGGTATATCTACACAATGGAATACTACTCAGCTATAAAAACGAATGAAATACTGCCATTTGCAACAACATGGATGGACCTTGAAAGAATAACATTAAGTCAGGCAGTGAAAAAGGAATACTACATGTTTTCACTTATTGGAGGGAGCTAAAGGTGAATGAACCAATTCACACACTCACACACACACTCACACACACACTCACACAAAAACAAACAGCAAAAACAACAACATCAACAACAACAACAACAACAACAAC